CAAGCGGAGTGATGGATGGATGGATGATGGTGGGTAGGTGAGTTGGTTGGTAGGATGGATGGATGAACAAAAAGGTAGGTAGGACAGAAAGGGCAGATGGATGGATGGATGTCTCTAAAACATATTTGACTAATCCGTTACTATTACAGATTATAAATAAAATAGTTTCTGAACACTGTAACTGAACAGAACTGTGTTGAACCTTCACATTCTTTTTGCTGGAGTTTTAAACACTAAATGCACATTATTTTATTCTCTGTTTACTTTTTTTTTTTGTCTTCCTCAGCTATCCGTGCAGTGAGTAGTGGGTGTAATTTATTTATAACTATGCTGGAAACATGTCTCAAAGAACAGAGTCGGGTTTCTGTTTCTCAAATATGACCAGGCTAGATTTAATCATGTGCCTCAGGTTCCCGCTCTACTCTTTTTGTGTTTTTAATGGCTCAGGGCTCTGGATGACAGACGGAAGCTGTGGGACACTGAAGAGAAACGTCTGAGAGAGAACATCCTGCAGCAACGCAGACAGCAAGTACAGGAAGCTACCGAGCGCTTCCAAAGAGCCCATCTTCCTCCTCCTCAGAGATACAGGCAACGTCAGTGCTTCACGTGCATGATTTGAGGACGAATGATAATGTACTAAGAGTCCCGACACTTTGCACTTTACTTCAATTATATTCTTTATGTCGTTATAGCTCTCACAAGAAATGCTCCGAATATTGAGGATGCACTCAGTCAAATTCAGGGCAGCTTGGGTTCACACGCCCAGCAGCCCTCTCTCTTGTCCACACATATTAGCAGGTACAAATATAAAATAAAAAGTGCTAAATACAAATGTACCTCACTCCTTTACTGTACGCTGAGAATGTTTGCTGCTATTAATTAAAAATTTGGTGCCGTCTTTCTCACAATGTGAACACTTTGACAACCGATTAGAGCATGCATTCACTGTCGCATAGTTTCAAAAAGGTGATGCAATGTCAAACTAAAGAAACTGAAAATGCAGTGTGAATGCTTATTGCATAAGAACTTACTGAAAAACAGCTGAGATTAACTAACATTATGCTGAAATGGAAGGACAAGCCGAAGTTAGCAGAAGAAAGCAGACAGAACTGATGAATTAGGTTTAAATGAGCAGAAATTAGCACAATTAGGAAATTAGCTTTAAAAAGCTGAAATTAACAAAAAAAAATTGCTGAAATGTCAGAAAGAAGCTTAAACTACCAGAAGAAAGTAGAAAGAGCTGAAATGTGCTAAAAAAAATGTACCAGTAACTGAAAAGGCTAAAACTAGTATAAAACAGCTAAATATTAGCTGAAATAGCAGAAAAAGTTTAAACTTACAGATAAAAGCTGAAAATGAGCTTAACAAACTGAAATTAGCATATAGTACTAGTAGCATATACTTCGTTAGGCTAAAAATAGGTGAAATTATAATTTATCTGAAAACAGCTGAAATGAGTTAAAAACAATGCTAAAATGTTAGCTGAAATGGTAGAAAAAGCTCAAATTAGCAGAATAAAGTAGAAAGAACATGTTTGCCCAATTAGGCTGAAAGAAGCAGAAATTAGTACAAAAAAGTGGAAATTATCATAAAAACAGATGTAAAGTACCCGTAGCTAAAAAGACAGAAACTTAAATTACCAGAACGAAGTGGAGAGAGCACAGTTTTGCCCAGTTAGGCTCAGTTAAGCAGAGATTGGCACAAAAACGTAGAAATTATTAGAAAAAAGCAGAAATACGCAAAAAAAAACAAAAAAAACCTGAAAAGTAGCTACAAGAGTGGAAAGAAGATTAAATTAGCAGAAGGAAGTAGAGAGAGCACACTCTTTCCCAGTCTGGCTGAAAGAAGCAGAAATGAACACATAAAAGTGGAAATTATAAAAATAAAAAAATAAACAACTGATAATAGCAACAACAACAAAAAAACAGCTGAAAAGTAGCTAAAAGAGCAAAAAAAGCTTAAATTAGCAGAAGGACATGGAGAGAGTACATTTGTGCTGAATTAGGCTGAAAATTAGTACAAGAATGGTGGAATTAGCTGAAAATGTTAAAATGAGCATAAAACAGCTAAATAGTAGCTGAAATAGCAGAAAAAGCTGAAACTTGCAGAAATTAGCTGAAAGGATCATTAAAAGCTGAAATTAGTAGAAAGAAGTACAACAATGTTGCAGTTAGCAGAAAGAATCTGAAAAAAAAAATCACTAAACAGCTGAAGTTAGCTGGAAAAAAAAGTTTAAATTTGCAAATGGAAGCTGAACGAACCTGAACCAGAATAAAATGTGAAAGGAGCAGTAAAAGTTTGTAAACAGATCTAAAGATATGAAGGATGTCAAAAGAGCTCAATTCATCTCTATGAGAAAAAAGTGTCAGAAAAGGATAAATGTTTCAAAAAGTTAAAGTTGCACCAAAAGTCATGGCAGCATTGTCCTGAACGAGCTGAACGTTTTGATTTGTTGAAATAGCACAAAAAATGTGGAATGAGAAAGATGGATCAGAATAGTGTGAATGCTGCATAAACACTCACACAACTATTCGTGTCCACCTGGAGGTGCATTCCTTCAGCCTCAGTCTGGTCTGAGTCGACTCTTCTTCCACATCTAAATGACTCTCAGTCAGTTGAAGGTCTAAATTCTCTGTCTGCAAAGTGAAATGTAAAAAATGTTGCTGCCTGCTCCCTGAACCACTCGTTCATGTTGAGCCCAGTCAGTTCTGTCACTGTCATGTTGGGAAATGCCTGTACCATTAGAGAAATATTTAAAAATATCTTTAGACTGTAAACTTGGTCCTTCTGTATATTCCGGTGGTCAGCTAACTAACCTGAATGGATGAAATGAAACAGCCTAAGATGTGTTGAAACCGTGAGAACTAGGCCTGAGTATCACTTCATCCACCCTCCTCTGAACCCGATCCACCCATGTCTTTGGAACTGGGTACAACTGGACCTCATGACCTCACTCCATTGCTCTGGAGTCTAATCTTTGTGTCACTACAAACTGAAGCTTTTCATTGATTAGTCTCCCTGATAAGTGCTTTTCTTCTTGCTACGCAGCTCTTTTCACCCAATGTCTCGAGTTTCCTTGGCCTTGTGCGAGTAAATATGTGTTTATGATTGATATAAGTGTTATAATTTTACTGAGTAAGTCTCAAATCATTCCAACCATAATTTGACTTATCTTTCCGCCTTTGATGTTTTGTGTGACAGTTTTTTTTTTTTTTTTTACCCAGTTTTGCAGTTTTAACAGTTACCTATAGATTTTGTTTGCTTTAATAGACATTTGATCATATTCTGATATATTTTTCATGACCCAGGATGTGTCTTCTAACATGATTAAAGGAATTAAAAGCTACTTTTTCCCATAAGTTTTCGCTTTGGAACAACTGCGTTTTCCCCAACTGTCCTAATTATTTGCTTAGGTAGTTCCAAGGGATGACTTATTTTGGTTGGCTACGTATTATTATTATTATTATTGTTAATATTATTATTATGTTGACTAAGTTTTTTTTCTTTCACTTGAAGAGGCAGCACTCCATCACCTACGCCTCCCACAGCTCCTAGATTGTCTCATCGCCGAGCCCTCTCTGCAGTGGAGGCTTACAGTAAACTGCTTCAGGAGCAATGCAGGATCGAGACGCTTCACAATCACAACCTGCAGGTATTTGTTTGAGCAGGTGGCAGTAGATATTCCTAAAAAAGATGTATTGTTTCATCTCTCAAGGACAGAACTGCTGCATGAAAAAGTTATTTGCGATGTTGTTTAGTTAAAACTGAAGAACCCTGAGCTATAGGCAAAGTTAAGTGACTATTTTTTCTGCTAACAAGTGAAGTACCTCCAGGTGTTTGTCCTAATATACAATCTAAAACTTAGAAGTTTAGAAAGTGGTCAAAACCTTTTTAAAAAATGTAAGCAGACCAAAGTAGAGGTTCAACTGTTCTTTCCTAAAATGAATAAAGCTACAATTAACTGAAAGGCATCCTAATGTAGGAGCTCAAATAAAGTCTTGGCTAAAAAGTAACAATACTGTACTGCCACGTGGTTCACTGACAGACACGATGTCTGATGGTTACGTTAAACTCAATTTACACTTTTCTTTCCACATTTGAATAATGTAAAATATGTATACTTATAAAGTTTTGAGTAAGAAACAATTTGAGTATAATTTACTATACAGTACTTTAAAATACAATGTGGAAAATGTTGGCAAATTGTGTGTGTGTGGTGAACTCAACATACACAGTTCAAGTCTGTCTTTTACTTTGTACTTCCAAATTAAGAAGAAGACCTTCAGGGGGCAGCACACATCTTCTTCGCCTCTTTTTGTTGCCATAACTTTTGGTCAAATGTGATTTTAAAAACAGTTTCAATAATTATTTCTTCATGTATTTTGTATATGGATAATACTCTAATAATTACAACATAAATTACTTTATTGAAATGCATAAATCCGTCTCGCATTCTGTTACGCTAAATACTTTTGATATTCTGTTTAAATGTGTTGACGCTCTCATTCAAATAAAACCTTAAATAACTGGTTAGGTTCCAGTAAGTTACTGATAGTGCATATTTCCCTGTTTTACTGCTTTTCCACATTAGATAAAATGTCCACTAAAAACAGTTTTACTCATTAATTATTGAAGCTCTGTTCTGTTGAGTTTCTTATTTTGAGTCGTTTCTATTAAAGATTAATATTAATGTTCAACAAAAGGGCAATATATATGACACGTTAAAAAATAGTGTGCGGATCCCCCATTTCCCTTTATTCAACAAACATGAACAGAAACTCCCAAGAAAGTAAAATAGAGCCTCCACATAAAAATGCAGCTTGGACTCTTGAGTCTTATCATTTGATTCATGTTCTAGTCTGTTTTTTAATTGAAATCAATTTGTTCACATGTGAAGTACAGCTCCGTTTCGTTTAACTTCTCACGCTGTAGCTAAATGACAGGTGTATTGTTTACTTTGGAATTAAATTTATTAGTTTACGTCTGTCGTCTATTCGTACAATATAAAATTATAAACGGTTTATTTAAACTTACCAGCACTCTTTTGCTTCCATTTGTCAGGGCAGCCATGACTCTGATTCTTCTGAGAGCCTTTCAAGTAAGGACAGCTTGGAGGATGAGGACTCCAACCAAAGCACATCAGACCTGCAGTGTTCTCGCTCGTTGTTTTCTCCTGACTCAGAGAAGACCCACGCAGCGCTACAAAAGCAAAGTGAACTGTGTCCAACCTCAGCTTCTTTCTCAGCGATGGTGCTTCTTGATGAAAATCTAGCCCTGCTAAGAAAACTGCATGAACCCCAGCAGGAAACACAAGAAGACTCTAAATGGGTTAACAATGGGACTGTTGACGCTGAAGCTTTGTGGGATTTCACTTCTATTGCGAAAATACCTAAAACAGAGAACCACGCCACACCAAACAATAACTTATTAGCTCTTTGTAAACTTCCTAAAGAAGATCCAGATTACTCTGAAGTCAAATCCTTACAAACAAATCACAATGACAGCGTCCTCATGAAAAATAGGGTTGTTCTTGGCAACCCAGATGAGTCTCCATGTTCCAGACAAGAGGCTCTGTTGGATCTCAGAGAACGGAGGATCCACGATGACAGTCACTTAAAATATCCATCATCTACAGATGCTTCTTTCCCTTCCAAAAATGGTAGCAGCAAAGACATTTTGTTTGAGACTCCCCTAAAAAACAACATGGCAGATATATTCACCAACAACAGAACCCTTTTGCCCACGAAAAAAGAAAACTTTACGTCGTCTCGGATAAATTCCTGCGCCTCCATAAATAATCTCAACAAAGTTTCAAACTCGGAAAGTAAAACTGAGAAGGCCATAAACGGAGTGTTCCTGCCAAACGCAAGCTTGTCCAAGATTCAGTCAGAAACGCACAAGTGTCCTGAGGAAGACGAGAAAAGTTTTCCTGTTTCAGGGGCCACACCTCATTCAGTTTGTAAAGTCAAACTCGTCAAAGGGATTCTTAAAAAGCAGTCCAAAAATATGCCAGGAGATACTTGTTGCATGCACGACTCAGACCGTTTGATTTTTGCCAGCCATGTAGCACTAGCGTTAAGAGATAGCGTTGAATTAACAAGAGCAAAATCAAAAGATCAGGAGGTCAACACTGTAAAAAAGAAGCTGCGTTGGTTTGACGAGGTCTTTACAGGAAAAGACCACCAGCCGAGCCTCACTAAAGAGTCAAGGTCTCCCAAGCCGGGACCCAGCATGACCCCTGCAGCCTCCACTGGCTATCACTTTACAAAAGAAGCATGGGCAGATGTTGGGGTTCAAGTCAACTTGCCCCAGGAACGAGCCGACGGGGTCAAGGCGGCGCATAGCAGTGCCAAGAACAGTGGCTCGAAAATCCCTCAGAGAGCTCGCCCTTCCAGACCTGGAGGGGGTCCTGTTTGCTTGCGGACAAGAAAGGGCACTGCTATACGACCCCAATCTGCCACTGAGGTGAGTCAGATTGCCAAAGCCCAAGGGAAGATCATGGCGCCGCGCCCACCTCCTCGAACAGAGCCCGTGGAAGAAAAAACGCAGCACGTCAACAAGACTCCATACGGCATGAAACACGTCGGCAGCAGCTATAAACAGGCCCTGGTTATAGAGGAGGACCTGCCCAAGAACCACTCAGTGAGAATAGTCTCACCTAAGACACGTGATGTAATCTCAACAGATAGGACTGTTGTGTACACAGCTCTGCCACGCTCCCGCACCTGCTTCTTGTCGGGGGGTAACACAAAAGGCACGCCCATTTCAGGTCATCGAGACTTTCACCAGAACAGTGGAAGAGGGCTGCTGTTCAGAGAAAAAGGCTTTTGTTTGGATGTCACACCCACAGATGAAGAGATTTCACAGCTCTGGCACGGCGTCCGCAGTGCCCTAAACACAAAAGAGGGTAATGTATAGTTTGGCGGCCCCTCACACTGTCTAGGCTTTTTGAGATTTGTTTGACACGCAGTTTTTCTTGGGCTTGTTTTTTCCTCCAACCATAACAATTTAAATAAGAACTAAACAATGTCAGTCTGCACAACATTAGTTCCAGTGAAAGTTTCCGTTTTAACCTAAAATATCATGACATAAAAGTAGGCTCATGGGAATTAGCAGCCTGTTTCATAACTACAAATTTTTATAGTTCTATAGGATTACAAAAATATTTATTATATTCAAATCTTGTTCAATTCGTGTCTATTTATAATATTTTTTGTGTTTGCTACTAGTTCTTTGTGTTAGTTGGCCTAAATTGAGCCATTATTTTTATGGATTGGTTTACTCAAATTCTTTGATTTTTAAAAGTTAGAAAGATCAGATTAAAGTGGATCAAGAGACTTGCTGCCTCATGAGTGTCTGATGAGTTTACGCTTTATTAATCCTGCACTAATTTGTCCAACAGTGGCGTTAAAAGTGACACAGATCTGCATTTCGAATGCTGCATTTAAACTCTGCTGTTTCATTACGTTAATGTGTTGATTTAAATTTAGAGAGCAACTCGTTTTTAGCATTTCATTTACTACTGTAAATAGGCCACACTTTGGAAAGATTTTAATATAAAACATGTAATTTGTTAGTTTATTTAAAACTTTAACAAACGCATCTCGACAGGAAATTATTTTTAGTCAGTTAGCGCCTCTAAAAATCTATTAAAAATAAACAAATAAAAAAATTATTCCAGCTACACACTCAAGAAAATTGATAGCAGCTTAATTACATTTTGTTACACCTTCATTTTTATTAAGACCTTTTAATCATTTGGAAACCACTAAATGATACAGTTTTGTCAGAAGAGTCTGTGTCTTCTGTAAATAATTTTTCAGCCACTCAACCCTTACTGATCATAAAAAGTCTTATTAAAATAAACACAGTAGTTACTTTACCAGAACAAAAGAATAAAATCTTTAAATGTGGACTATTGAACATCTGATCTCTTTCCTCTAAATCCCTGTTAGTTAATGACGTGATAATTGATCATCATACTGATTTATTCTGTCTGATAGAAACCTGGCTAAAACAGGAAGATTTTGTTAGTATAAATGAATCCATTACATCTAATTATTTAAATGTTTATGTTCCTAGAGCAACTGGTCGAGGCAGAGGTGTAGCTTCTATTTTTCAGTCGGGACTATTGATTAATACTAAACCAATTAGTAGTTACAATATTTTTGAGTCGCTGTCTCTAAGTCGATCCCATCCTAAATGGAAAACGGAGTGGCCACGCTCACTAGTTGTTATATATCGTCCACCAGGCTCCTATTCTCAGTTTTTGTCTGAATTCTCAGATTTCTGAACTGACTTACTACTAAATACTGATAAAGTCATAATGTTGGGTGATTTCAATATTCATGTAGATGTTGAACGTGATAGCTTAAGCATAGCCTTTAAAAATTTAATAGAATCAATTGGTTTTACCCAGAATGTTCAAATATCTACTCATTCTCATTATCACACTCTTGATCTTGTTCTGATGAGATTAATAACTTAGTAATAATCCTCAAAATCCTGTTCTGTCTGATCATTTTTTAATAATCTTCATAAATAAACTATTCTATATCAATAAACTGAATTGAATTGAATAGCTTGTCCAGGTTTGAGAAGTTTTTTTGATTCACACTTTCAGTAGTAGACAAAGCTAAACTCCTTTCAAAACTTAGAACATCAGGAGAAGTATATGTTTGTCCCATTTTTATATTTGTTGTTGATATAGCAATGATTCCAGTCAAGTATCTTCCTTCAGACGAAAGCTCGCTTGAAAGGCAAGCCGTGGAGAAACGTGACCAGAGCAGGCAGCCTCCTGGCTCGGCAAACAGAAGACTTCTTCAGACCTCTCAGGTAAATTTGTGCACGGCTGTAAAATTGCTCAGTGGGCAGGACGAGTGAGCATAATTACAAAATACCAGTCATTCAGTGAGTTTGAACTTGTTTTGCAGACACTTTTCATGCCATCTACAGTGCCTTGCGAAAGTATTCGGCCCCCTTGAACTTTTCAACCTTTTGCCACATTTCAGGCTTCAAAACATAAAGATATAAAATTAAAATTTTCTTTTGAAGAATCAACAAAAAGTGGGACACAATCGTGAAGTGGAATGAAATTGATTGGATGTGTCAAACTTTTTTAACAAATAAAAAACTGAAAAGTGGGGCGTGCAATATTATTGGGCCCCCTTGCGTTAATACTTTGTAGCACCGCCTTTTGCTTCAGTTCCAGCTACAGTCTCTTGGGGTATGTCTCTATCAGTTTTGCACATGGAGACACTGAAATTCTTGTCCATTCTTTCTTGCAAAACAGCTCGAGCTCAGTGAGGTTGGATGGAGAGCGTTTGTGAACAGCAGTCTTCAGTTCTTTCCACAGATTCTCGATTGGATTCAGGTCTGGACTTTGACTTGGCCATTCCAACACCTGGATACGTTTATTTGTGAACCATTCCATTGTAGATGTGTCTTTACGTTTTGGATCATTGTCTTGTTGGAAGATAAATCTCCGTCCCAGTCTCAGGTCTCTTGCAGACTCAAACAGGTTTTCTTCCAGAATGGTCCTGTATTTGGCCCCATCCATCTTCCCATCAATTCTGACCATCTTCCCTGTCCCTGCTGACGAAAAGCAGGCCCAAACCATGATGCTGCCACCACCATGTTTGACAGTGGGGATGGTGTGTTCAGGGTGATGAGCTGTGTTGCTTTTACGCCAAACATTTTTGCATTGTGTCCAAACAGTTTGATTTTGGTTTCATGTGACCAGAGCACCTTCTTCCACATGTTTGGTGTCTCCCAGGTGCTTGTGGCAAAATTTAAACAACACTTTTTATGAATATCTTTGAGAAATGTCTTTCTTCTTGCCACTTTTCCATAAAGGCCAGATTTGTGCAGTGTATGACTGATTGTTGTGCTATGGACAGACTCTCCCACCTCAGCTGTAGATCTCTGCAGTTCATCCAGAGTGATCATGGGCCTCTTGGCTGCATCTCTGATCAGTCTTCTCCTTGTTCGAGATGAAAGTTTAGAGGGACGGCCGGGTCTTGGTAGATTTGCAGTGGTCTGATACTCCTTCCATTTCAATATGATTGCTTGCACAGTGTTCCTTGGGATGTTTAAAGCTTGGGAAATCTTTTTGTATCCAAATCCGGCTTTAAACTTCTCCACAACAGTATCTCGGACCTGCCTGATGTGTTCCTTGGTCTTCATGATGCTCTCTGCGCTTTGAACAGAACCCTGAGACTATCACAGAGCAGGTGCATTTATACAGAGACTTGATTACACACAGGTGGATTCTATTTATCATCATCAGTCATTTGGGACAACATTGGATCATTCATAGATCCTCACTGAACTTCTGGAGTGAGTTTGCTGCACTGAAAGTAAAGGGGGCTGAATAATATTGCACGTCCCACTTTTCAGTTTTTTATTTTTTTTTTAAGTTTGACACATCCAATAAATTTCATTCCACTTCACGATTGTGGCCCACTTGTTGATTCTTCACAAAAAAAATTAAATTTTATATCTTTATGTTTGAAGCCGGCAGCACGGTGGCGCAACTGGTAGAGCTGCTGCCTCTCAGCGAGCAGGTCCCTGGTTCAAACCCCGGTCCAGGGGCCTTTCTGGGTGGAGTTTGCATGTTCTCTCCGTGCATGCGTGGGTTTTCTCCGGGTACTCCGGTTTCCTCCCACAGTCCAAAAACATGCATGTTAGGCTGATTGGTAACTCTAAATTGTCCCTAGGTGTGAGTGAGAGAGTGAATGGTTGTTTGTCTCGTTTGTCTCTATGTGTCCCTGTGATGGACTTGCGACCCGTCCAGGGTGTACCCCGCCCCTCGCACAGTGATTGCTGGACATGGGCACCAGTGACCCCCGTGACCCAAAATGGAATAAGCGGGTAAAGAAAATGGATGGATGGATGTTTGAAGCCTGAAATGTGGCAAAAGGTTGAAAAGTTCAAGGGGGCCGAATACTTTCGCAAGGCGCTGTAATTTACAGAGTAACATATTCCTGAAGAGAAGATGTTGCTCATGAACTAGTTTTACTTTTTAACAGCTTTTTAACAGTTTTCCCCCACTTTGTCACCAAAAAGTGTAATGCATCCTCCCAGTCTAAGAATTCGAGGGTTTAACATGAGTTTTTTGTGTATTTTTTTGTAGCATATAAAGCAGAACTTTGAGCTACTCAGAACATGTTCAAGTACTCACAACACAGCCTTAAATGAAGGTAATGCGTTCTACCTAATTTCTTTCTTATATTTAGTACATCTTTTGATTTCTGAAAGACTATAATAGAGCTCTCTGGTGTGTTTACCATCAAATACAATCAAACTGAACAGAAAAAGGGTTTTGAATGAGTGTACATTAAAATTAATTCTCAGCCTATATTTAATCTTTGTATGGGACTGCAGGTTTCGAGTCTGCAGCGCAGATACAGCTGGCAGAGGGCCTGTGGAAAGAGAATCAGACTGGAGGTCCCATGGAGATCGCTCAGACACTGAGGCCCGTAACAGAGCAGCAGCGCCGCCAACAGCAGGAGATCACCACCATTTCCTTGGAGGAGAAGAAAATCCTGCTGTCTCTCGAAAAACTGAACCACCAGCTGCACAGTAAGCAAAGTCCATGAGGCCTCAGTTAACCAACAGAAACACATTAATGTGATAACTATGGGTGAGATAACCCCTCTTTTCTGAATATTTTTGTAGATTTGCAGGAACACGTGGGGCATAATGCTGGCACACGTAGTCTTGCAATTATTGACACACCCTTTGTAAGTACCGTACATTTAAGTTGCTTTTTTGTCTTTATTTCAGTCTGAACAGTTACATTGTTAAAAAAAAAAAGACTCATTCTTCACCTTGTTCTTGTGTTTTCAGACAAACGAAGTGACAGTTACAAATTACAAGCACCGTGCTACCTCAGCAAACTCCGTTCCATACCAGAAGAAAGTCTGACACAAAGTTTTATTCCCAGCTGATAATAAACTTGACTCTGGTCAATGCATGAGCTCTTCATCATCAAAAATGGTTATTACCAAATGTGCCTTTAAGAGTTCCCCCCCTGACTATTACATAAATAAGAAACTGCAAAGGCAAGGGTCACCTGTACATTGGTTCTAAATATACATTCCCCTATAAATGAGAGCGTTTAACTCTTGGTGCTTTCACTCAGTGTTTAGAGAACAATTTATTCTTGATAATATTATGTTTGAAGTTTTATAAAACAACGTGGAATTAGGCACTTAGACTGTAAATGCTTGTGAAAATTATTTAAAAACAAAACTGTATGCACTTTCCATATCTTACACACAACTGAAATTACATAAACTAGAGATAATACAGAAGCTCTTTCATTTTGTATTTATTTTGATAATTAAAACTATATATATATATATATATATATTTAAATACAGTATACTGTCATTCCATTGACATTAAATTAAATAAAGCTGATCAAGACAGAGTTAGCTGAGTGAGTTAATTTTGTTTAGTACGATTAATACGTTAACAGACTTGTTCCATCTCAAACTGGTGCTAAATGACATATTATGTCATAAACTCTCAGGAATTGGTTTCTCAGATCACACTATTGGTTGGTTCTCTAGTTATCTCTCAGATCGGAGGCAATGTGTTCAACACAATGATACTTCTTCCAGTTATGCAACTGTTAATGATTTAAAAAGGTCCATGCTCAATAATCCAGGTATACAATCCAACAATTTTCAGTCAGGTCATCTGGACAGTTTAGTTTTTTTTTTTTTTTTTTGCTGAAACGTTTCACCTTCCATCCAGAAGGCTTCATCAGTCAAGGAAACACACAACACAAAACTGAAACTGTCCAGATGACCTGACTGAAAATTGTTGGATTGTATACCTGGATTATTGAGCATGGACCTTTTTGGTTTTGAACCAGTTTAACATGACTGTCGGTGAGGAAGAGGGCCGGCACAAGAGGAGGGGGCGTGCCAAAGACACCATCTTAGCACCAACATAACTGGTTTGTTTCACTTTGGAGTAAGCTGTTTGGGGGAAGAATCAGTTTTGTGTTTTGTGTTTCCTTGACTGATGAAGCCTTCCGGATGGAAGGTGAAACGTTTAAGCAAAAAAAAGAAATTGTCCAGATGACCTGACTGAAAATTGTTGTATGTTAACAATGATGTACCACAAGGTTCAGTCTTAGGACACACCCTCTTCATAATCTCCATAAGTCAGATCATTCCTGATGCATCCTTACATTTCTATGCCAACAACACAGTTTATTGTCAAGCTAAAGCAGTTGCTAAGGTTTTCCAGCTTTTACAGTCTGCACTCGACATGATCCAGTCAGATTTGCTCCGTCTCAAACCTGTGCTAAACGCTGACAAAACCAAAGGGATGTTGTTTTCAACCAGGAAGTCTGCAGTCCTTCCTTCTATTTTTTTCATTCAGTCTTTATTTAGACAGGTTATTCACATTGTTCCTCGGGGACTCATTTACAAGAGAGACCTGAGACCTGATTTGATCTACAAATGGTGTTCCTATCGAGTTTGTCGATTCTTATAAATACTTGGGCATCTTGGTCGATTCGCATCTCTCTTGTAAGCCTCACCTCGAAAACTTGGTAAAGCGATAGCAAGTCAAACCGTGTTTCTTTTTCAGAAATAGATCTTTTTTAACTCCGAACGATAGGAAACGCCCTGTAACTGCTACGTTTCTTCCCTCCATTGACTACGATGACATTATTTACACGAATGCTCCTGCAAGCACTCTGCAGATGTTGGATGCTGTCTATCACGGTGTATTAAGATTCATAACTGGCTGTAACTATCGTACCCACCACTGCACCCTGTACTCACTGGTTAACTGGTCATCATTAACCTCACGCAGACTCTCTCACTGGTGCATTTTCATCTTTAAATCCCTTCTCGGTCTATTGCCTTCATACATCTCCTCCTATATGTCATTCTGTGAGTGCAGCTACAGCGTGCGCTCTCAGGACATTATTACCTGCAGTGTCCCCTCAGTGCAAACTGAACAGGGCCTTCTCTTACTCTGCTCCTGTTTCCTGGAACATCGCGCAACAAAAATCTGAAGCTGTCCACTTTGATTTCTTTAAGGCATTTTAAACATTTGATAAGGTCATTAGAAAAATCTAAGCACATATGTTCTTGTTTTTAGCATTTTACCATGTTTTATAAGGCACTTTCTTTTTTTTATTGTTCTAACTGCTTTTATTGTTGTATTTTGTTGTTTATATGTTATTTGTCTAAAACGAGTCTCTTGAAAATGAGTTCTTGTGACTCAGTGAGACTAACTGTAAAAATAAAGGTTAAATAAAAATAAGTAAATCAAACTGTTTGACATTGAATGATAAGACTGAGTCTCAAACTGGCTTCTTGAGGAAAGTGTTGCAGTTGTAGATGTGTTTGTCTTTCATTCATTCTGTGAAATGAATGTCTCGTGGGCCTGCCAGCTGCCAGAGGACTTCCAGAAACCTCTTTTGAAATTTAGTCCCAGTGAATTTAACTTTTGTTTCAAATCTTATTACATTAATACTGCTCTTAAATTATAACGGCATCAAAAGACAACAGCCTGCGTTTGATTTCATTTTAAATTGTTGGGTTTTTGGTTTTTAATTAAAAGCTTCTCTGTTTCTCTTACCAAACAATGGTTTCATGGGGAGTGGGGGCAGCAGGGATTATTGATGGGAGTTCATTTGCCCCTCCTTCGACAGCGTGTCTGGTTTTGCCCCTTATTGCGCCTGCTAGGACTTGCTCCAAGAGGTGCAAGAAGTCCAAACTCTTTTCATGCATGAAAAAAAAAAAGTGTTTTTTTTTTCCATTCAGTTTAGCTGCAGGTTCTTCGATTGATTCAAGAAAAAGCAATAAATAATGATGTGACAGCGGTGTCTCACTGCCATATAAAGTCAGCCATACGTTCACCTTTCATCCTAAACCACAGCTGAGAACAGAGAGGATGTGTTTTCTGCTTTGGGGTGTGATGGTGCCTGCAGCAGGAATCCTATGACAAGTTATGAGCAAAGAAATCTGTAAAAAAAGAAAAAGAAAAATGATGGCTGTTGTTTTTATTTGAGGAACATATGAATGTTTAAACCTAGTTAAAATCAACAGTTTTGAAAAATAAAATGAATTATGATATTCACCACATTTAAGACTTTCTTATTTTAATATTTGTCCGCAAAACAATCCTGTTCTTTGTTTTAAATCACTCAGTTTCGGAACAGTCAGGCCAGAAATTAGTTATAAATCATACAATAACATATTCAAAAGTTAGAAAAAACTTTTAACGAGTTCATTAGATTATTGTATTTCAGGTATTTCAATTGTATTTTCCTAATTTAGCTTCTCACATTGAAGTGATGGCATTTAGAGGCTGAACAGAAAAGAGTAAGGGTCCTAAAGTAAAGAAACAAATTTTTACGGATGCAAGTTGTGGCTTGTGCTGTGGTCTATAGCTATGTCTCTCAAATCTTGCTTTGTTGCAGTCTCTTACATAAAAAGCATGGAAGGTTTGGGCTTTTTTAATGAAGTGACATAAAACTTTCTCTTTTGTGTTGTGGGAAAATAAAAACTTCCTCCATTGTGTAAATAACACAGTGTGCGATGTGTTGCAATAATTATATGTGAAAGGGATGTGTTTCCCTCACATTTAAAAAAATATTCATTTGAACACCCCCCCCCCCCACACACACACACACACACACACACACACATTTACCATGAAATATTAGATCACCCAGCACTGTTTCTATGTCTTTGTGAACAAATCCATTCCACTTGTTTAATAGCAGAATACTAAAACCACTAAAAATCCACTCCGTGTTTTCCTGGTTACCTAGAACAACTCACTGCTGTATGGCAAGCCCTTTTAACATAAAATCGGATTCACCACGCTTGCAGTGTTTCCCTGAGGTCACTTGCCTTGGCAGGACGGTCAATGGCAAGCCCTTTTAACATAAAATCGAGTAGTCTGACTATCTGTAGTTACATTCTAGATATCTAAAATTGAATAGGAACAATTACATTTTGACTAGTCAGAATGCCAATTTAAGATATCTGTATTTACATTCTGACTAGTCAGAATAACAATTCAAGATATCTTAAAAGGAATTTTGACTAGCCATAAGTACAGTTCTAGATATCTTTGTTAGTTTTGCCTAGTCGTTATTTGCTATCAAGCTATCTGCAATTTAATTTGCACTTGTCAAATCTTTATTTATGATATCTATAAATACATTTAAGATATCTTGAATAATGACGTAATTTAAGATGTCTTTAATTGTAATTATGACTAGTCAGAACTAAAAGCAAGACAACTTGAAAGCAAATAATGACTAGTCAAAATTAACTTAGAGATATCTAGAACTGTATTTTTGACTAGTCAAAATTCAGTTTAAGATATCTTGAAGTGAAGCCTCCATCCAACTCAATGGTAAATCTGACGACATTTACACTAGTCAGAATGTAATTAGAGATATCTTTAATTATATTTTGACTAGTCAAAATATAATTAAAGATATCTTAAATAAGTAATATGTCTAGTCATAAATCAGTTTCAGATATCTGGAATGTAAGCGTGGTGAATCCAAATTTTATGTTAAAAGGGCTTGCCGTAGCCACCCATCTCTTCTGGGTTTTTGGTCGAGGGGGCAGGGGGAGGAGGGGGAGACTACAGACCAGGGAGACACCTTTGTGATGCGAGCTAGCTTAGCACTATGTTAGTGCTGGCAGTTGTTGACCGGGGTGGGCGGGTTAAGATGCATGAGAGAAGTGGAGTGCTACGTGACGTCTGTAGCAGCTAGTGCGTGCCGCTAGTTTAGCGCTACGTTAGTACCGGAAGTTGTTGACAGGGATGGGGGGTGGTGGTTAGGATGGGTGAGAGAAGCGGAGCGTGTTATGTTCATACAAGGAGAGCTGTTGGTCAGGCTCCTTCTTGTTGCTCTCTAAAATAGTTAC